AGACACTTAAATGTAATTTGTTGGAATTAATTTGCATAAGAATTACCTATTAAATTGTTACAACTAATTGATAAAGTCATTAAGAGAATTTAATTTTTATTTTTTTAATAAATAAATTAAAAAACCAAAAGTCAAAAAATTAGATGACACATGGTAGCCTCTCATAACTTTGGTTTTGAGAAACCTTAAAATAATATCTAATATAATTTTTAAACTTGATTATATTAAATTGTTAAAGTTATTGAAATACACTTAATTTTTCTTTTGTTTTCAATAAGTAATTTAAGAAGACAAATGTCAAAAAGTTAGATGACACATGACAGCCTCTCATGACTTGAAATTTGAGAAACCTTACTATATTATATAAGAATTACCTATTAAATTGTTACAGCTAATTGATAAAGTTATTAAGAGAATTTAATTTTTATTTTAAAATAAATAAATTAAAAAGTCAAAAGTCAAAAAATTAGATGACACATGGCATCTTCTCATAACTTTGGTTTTGAGAAACCTTAAAATATTATATTAGATTAGTATTTAACATAAAATTATTTTAAATANACTAATTTATTAATCTATTAATAATTTTCTATTATTTTTTCATTTATTCTAATTATTCAAAGGATAATTTGGTACTATTCAATGTTTGATTCAAAATCNAAAATTACATACATAATGAGATTATTTGTGTAGACAAATCAACCTACGGAAGCCAAACACAAATATGTATATAGTATTTCATATATTTTTGATAAAATACTTACGAAATATTATTAAATATTTGAGGGGTTATCTTCCGAAACCATAATTTTTCATTAACAACATTTCGGTTTAAAATTAAAATTTAGAGCAAATTTCTGATGATGGCCCTTGCTATATCGCAAATTTTTTCCATTCTTTGATTTAAACTGGTTAACGGAGATTGTCCTTCGGGAAATTCATCTTCGCAGATANANGCTTCTATTTTGGCGTCAGCAACTCCATTTTCGGCAAATTTAGGGTTTCCTGGAAGGCCAGCATACGCTTGTGGGACATCGCCTTCTAGAATTGCTTTGTATCTCAGATTACATTGATCCAAAGGTCGTTTCAATATCGGTTTGGATTTGTAAATCTTTTTTATCTGTCCGAGGGTGTTTATTCCAAGCGCCTACATAGAAAAAATAGTATTTACCAATTTAACTCGATAACTAAAAAAAATCGCATTTACTTTTGATTTGTTACAAAATCAACTCCATGTTTGGAATAGTTTATAAGAGAAAAAACCTTGATTTGATCGACAAGGATGATGGCAAGACCAGCAATGTCAGCAGAGGAACTACGTGGATCGGAACGGAGGAGAGAAACACACAGTATAATCTCGTGTTCGTTTGCATTTACCATCTACAATATCTCCCAATGCAACTCCCATCATCATAACCACCACTAGCGTCATCATCTTTACCATTTTGATTTTCTCGTTTAAGTATCTCTAGTATTTGTAATTGGAAGATTATGTATAAAACGTAATAGTAGACGTGTCTATTTATANGNTTGTAGCCTTAANAGGTGTGCTAAAACGTTTTTTTTCTGCTTCAACGGTATTTAATGCTAATAGATTTGTTTCCTTAATAAATAAATGCATTTTCTAATGCGGAAAGGTGGTTTATTGTCTATATGCGGATTGATAATTAATCTTAGTTGAGTAAGGCAATAGTATACCTTTGACCAAAAAAATAAAAATAAAATAATATACCAAATTGATGTTCATGGTTTTTTCGTCAACGAAAAGGTTATTGACTTGCCTTATAGTATGCTAAAACATTTTCTTTTCTAATGAATTTATGACAGTCAGAAGTCATCTAATCATGTGTTTTCTAGTCAAATACATTTAATTATAATGAAAACTAATATACCAAATTGATGTCATGATCTTTTCGTCAACAAAAAGGTTATTTATTGTCTTGCCTTATATTCTCTCCGTATTATTTTAAATAATTTTTTAGAGAATTTTTTTTGTTTCAAATTAAATGATTTTTACAATTTTCTATACAAAACTAAATGCATTTTTGTTTAATATGACTATTAGAATTCTGCAGTTTGATTTACTATTGGTTAAATTCTATTCAATTAAATGATAAATAGTATTTTAATT